CCATTACTCCTTGTCCTGTCATCTGCTACCACTGAGAACAGTCTCGATCCGTCCTCTTTGGAACCCCCCTTTCAGGTAGTTAAAAGCAGCTATCAAATCCCCCCTCATTCTTCTCTTCCGCAGACTAAACAATCCCAGTTCCCTCAGCCTCTCCTTGTAAGTCATGTGTTCTAGCCCCCTAATCATTTTTGTTGCCCTCCGCTGGACATTTTCCAATTTTTCCACATCCTTCTTGTAGTGTGGGGCTCAAAACTGGACACAGTACTCCAGATGAGGCCTCACCAATGTCAAATAGAGGGGAACGATCACATCCCTTGATCTGCTGGCAATGCCCCTACTTATACATCCCCAAATTCCATTGGCCTTCTTGGCAACAAGGGCACACTGTTGACTCACATCCAGCTTCTCGTCCACTGTAACCCCTAGGTCCTTTTCTGCAGAACTGCTGCCGAGCCATTCGGTCCCTAGTCTGTAGCGGTGCATAGGATTCTTCCATCCTAAGTGCAGGACTCTGCACTTGTCCTTGTTGAACCTCCTCAGATTTCTTTTGGCCCAGTCCTCTAATTTGTCTAGGGCCCTCTGTATCCTATCCCTACCCTCCAGCGTATCTACCTCTCCTCCCAGTTTAGTGTCATCTGCAAACTTGCTGAGGGTGCAATCCACACCATCCTCCAGATCATTTATGAAGATATTGAATAAAACCGGTCTGAGGACCGACCCTTAGGGCACTCCACTTGATACCGGCTGCCAACTAGACATGGAGCCATTGATCACTACCCTTTGAGCCCGACAATCTAGCCAGCTTTCTATCCACCTTATAGTCCATTCATCCAGTCCATACTACTTCAACTTGCTGAGAAGAATACTGTGGGAGACTGTGTCAAAAGCTTTGCTAAAGTCAAGGAACAACACGTCCACTGCTTTCCCTTGATCCACAGAACCACTTATCTCATCATAGAATGCAGTTAGATTAGTCAGGCATGACTTGCCCTTGGTGAATCCATGCTGACTGTTCCTGATCACTTTCCTCTAAGTGCTTCAGAATTGATTCCTTGAGGACCTGCTCCATGATTTTTCCAAAGACTGAGGTGAAGCTGACTGGCCTGTAGTTCCCAGGATCATCCTCCTTCCCTTTTTTAAAGATGGGCACTACATTAGCCTTTTTCCAGTCGTCCGGGGCTTCCCCCAATCTCCATGAGTTTTCAAAGATAATGGCCAATGGCTCTGCAATCACATCCGCCAACTCCTTTAGCACTCTCGGATGCAGCGCATCCAGCCCCATGGACTTGTGCTTGTCCAGCTTTTCTAAATAGTCCCGAACCACTTCTTCCTCCACAGAGGGCTGGTCACCTCCTCCCCATGCTGTGCTGCCCAGTGCAGTAGTCTGGGAGCTGACCTTATTCGTGAAGACAGAGGCAAAAAAAGCATTGAGTACATTAGCTTTTTCCACATCCTCTGTCACTAGGTTGCCTCCCTCATTCAGTAAGGGGCCCACATTTTCCTTGACTTTCTTCTTGTTGCTAACATACCTGAAGAAACCCTTCTTGTTGCAGCTAGCAAGAGATGTTAAGAGTAACTCCAGATGTGATTTGGCCTTCCTGATTTCACTCCTGCATGCCCAAGCAATATTTTTATACTCTTCCCTGGTCATTTGTCCAGTCTTGCACTTCTTGTAAGCTTCTTTTTTGTTTCAGATCAGCAAGGATTTCACTGTTAAAACAAGCTGGTTGCCTGCCATATTTACTATTCTTTCTACACATCGGGATGGTTTGTCCCTGTAACCTCAATAAGGATTCTATCTAAAATACAGCCAGCTCTCTTGGACTCCTTTCCCCCTTTCCTTATTCTCCCAGGGGATCCTGCCCATCAGTTCCCTGAGGGAGTCAAAGTCTGCTTTTCTGAAGTCCAGGGTCCGTATTCTGTTCCTCTCCTTTCTTCCCTGTGTCAGGATCCTGAACTCGAGCATCTCATGGTCACTGCCTCCCAGGTTCCCATCCACTTTTGCTTCCCCTACTAATTCTTCCCGGTTTGTGAGCAGCAGGTCAAGAAGAGCTCTGCCCCTAGTTGGTTCCTCCAGCACTTGCACCAGGAAATTGTTCCCTACACTATCCAAAACCTTCCTGGATTATCTGTGCACCGCTGTATTGCTCTCCCAGCAGATATCAGGGTGATTGAAGTCTCCCATGAGAACCAGGGCCTGCGATCTAGTAACTTCTGAGAGTTGCCAGAAGAAAGCCTCGTCCACCTCATCCCCCTGGTCTGGTGGTCTATAGTAGACTCCCACCACGACATCACCCTTGTTGCTCACGCTTCTAAACTTAATCCAGAGACTCTCAGGTTTTTCTGCAGTTTCATACTTGAGCTCTGAGCAGTCACGCTGCTCCCTTACATACAATGCAACTCCCTCACCTTTTCTGCCGTGCCTGTCCTTCCTGAACAGTTTATATCCATCCATGACAGTACTCCAGTCATGTGAGTTATCCCACCAAGTCTCTGTTATTCCAATCACATCATAATTACTTGACTGTGCCAGGACTTCCAGTTCTCCCTGCTTGTTTCCCAGGCTTCTTGCATTTGTATATAGGCACTTGAGATACGTCGCTGATCGTCCCTCTTTCTCAGTATGAGGCAGGAGCCCTCCCCTCTCGCGCGCTCCTGCTCGTGCTTCCTCCCGGTATCCCCTTCCCCACTTACCTCAGGGCTTTGGTCTCCTTCCCCCGTTGAACCTAGTTTAAAGCCCTCCTCACTAGGTTAGCCAGCCTGCTTGCGAAGATGCTCTTCCCTCTCTTTGTTAGGTGGAGCCCGTCTCTGCCTAGCATTCCTCCTTCTTGGAACACCATCCCATGGTCAGAGAATCCAAAGCCTTCTCTCCGACATCACCTGCGTAGCCATTCGTTGACTTCCTCGATTCGACGGTCTCTACCCAGGCCTTTTCCTTCCACGGGGAGAATGGATGAAAAGACCACTTGCACCTCAAACTCCTTTATCCTTCTTCCCAGAGCCACGTAGTGATCCTCTCAAGGTCATTCTTGGCAGTATCATTGATGCCCACGTGGAGAAGCAGGAAGGGGTAGCGATCCGAGGGCTTGATGAGTCTCTGCAGTCTTTCCATCACGTCCCTAGCTCCTGGCAAGCAGCAGACTTCTCGGTTTTCCCGGTCGGGGCGGCAGATACATGACTCAGTCCCCCTGAGGAGAGAGTCCCTGACCACCACCACCCGCCTCCTTCTCTTGGAAGCGGTGGTCGTGGAACCCCCAACCCTAGGACAGTGCATCTCATGCCTTCCAATCGGCGGAGTCTCCTTCTGTTCCCTTCCCTCAGGTGTATCATCTAGTCCACTCTCCGCATTAGTACCTGTGAAGAGAACATGAAAACGGTTGCTTACCTGTATCTGCATTGCTGGTACACGGATGCTCCCCTTTCTTCTTCTGGAGGTCACATGCTGCCAAATTTCTTCACCGTCGTCCTGTCCCCGCAGTGCAGCCTGCTCTGAATCTTCAGAACGTTGTGTCCGTAGAAGCATATCCTGATGTCTGTCCAGGAAATCTTCAGTTTCTCTTATGCAACGCAGGGTCGATACCTGTTGCTCCAGACCTTGAACCTTCTCTTCCAATGTGGAGACCAGCTTGCACTTTGTACAGACAAAGTTGCTTCTCTCCTGTGGAAGAAAGACTAACATGGCACATCCGGTGCAGGTCACAACAGCTGAACACTCCCCATCCATATTACCTTCCTTCTATGAGCTTCCTCAGGAGTTGTTGTAACTACTCAGAGAAGCCGGAAAGATGTAAGCCTCAGTGGGCTCTCCCCAGGTGAACTCCCAGGCAAACCCCCTCTGTTAGCCTCTCTGCTGTTCGCTGCTCAGCTGGTTCGCAGCTGACTGGCTTTTTATAATGGTCAGGCCCACTCAAGGCTCACCTGGAACATAGCACTCCCAATTCACACTTTTCAAACAACCAGTCAAGCACACGGTCAAACTGTCCCCACAACAGATGCTCAGATACTCACCAACACAGCCTCCTTAATGCAGCCCTTAGCGTACCTCCTCTCAGGCAGATCCCAGGCAAACTCCCTCTGTTAGCCTCTCTGCTGTTCGCTGCTCAGCTGGTTCGCAGCTGACTGGCTTTTGTTTGTATAGCTCTGCTAATTGGTGACTAGTGATATGGTAAAGGGGCATTGCTATTCAGAGTTGCCTCCCAATAGCTGAAGGGTGCAGACATGAAGGATGAATATTACTACACTGAAGTTATTTATCGCCTTCTCGCTCTTGAGCCTCATGCTCCCAGAGCCTGAGAATCTTTTAATGAAAAACGCAAAACTTATGGAACTGAATGGATGGGGGTTGGCACTGGGATACTGATGATCAGGCCCAGGTTAGTAGTGACCAGAAGTTATGAACCATTTAAAGGTTGCTTGGCCTATGAACAAAAGTTGGTGGTTGTAATTGAGTTCCTTCTGCCCATCACAAACATCTATCTCATTCAGTGCTAATTGGCACCCTTAATTGTCTGAGCTGGGCAACCAAGGATTGAATGGGCATGGAGACAGTGTCACACTCATAACTCATACCTGGAAGGGGCCATTCCAAGACGGAAATGGTCTGGAGAGGTAGTTCGGGAGGAGCTTCCATTACCTTTACGATGTGTGTCTTCTTTGGATAAGTAGGACTTTGATCTCTAGGATTCTCTCTCTTGCCTTTCATGACATTCATGCTAAATTTTAAACACTGAATTCACTTAAAAACAAAGGGAAAAGGAGGGATGGACACAGGTAAAATCTATACTGTTATAGTTTAAAAAAAAAAAAAAAGCCGTCACAAAATCCTGTATGACTCTACCTGCCTCTGTTACAACCACCACTGTACCATACATCTGAATGAACGTCGTGCTAGGTAAACACAGCACAGGCCACCTTTAATGCAATTTGATGTTTTAAGAAGCTTTTGTTTGCCTTACGTGGACATCTGGATAATTTTGTTTGGTTCTTGGTTTTTTTTCCAGTTTCAGCTTCTTGCTTCAGCGCTGTTCAAGTCTGGTTCAGATTTCACCACTCTGGGTGAGTATATTATAATGAACCAGAGATGAATTATGCTAAGACCACAAAGCATAGCCAGGTGTATTGTGATAAGATTTCTGCTACTGCTGTTGAGGTGAAAGAAGTGTAGGCCACAAACGTGTTGGCACACTCAGACTGTAAAAGGGTTATTAAATGCCTTTATGCACCGTTATAGCTGTGTTAGTCCCAGGATATTAGAGAGACAAGATGCGTGAAATAGTATCTCTTATTGGACCAACTTTTGTTTGTAAGAGAGACTAGCTTTCAGGCTTACCCAGAGCTCTTCTTCAGATAATAAGATATTACCTCGCCCACCTTTTCTCCCAAAAGTGTCTTTAAATATTTGAGAAGGATCATTTCTATTCACTAGTGTTTATTGCCCCAAGCCCATTTGTAAAACAGCAGTCATCAGTGGTCTCAAATTCACATCTCAGTGGATCATTTTGCAGCTCTTGTTACACCATATGCTGCGCCATTACCCAAATAAGCAGAAGCCTTGGTCAAAAGAAAGGAACTTGTGTTGCATCATTTTGGAATCCAGCAGCATGGTTACAGATTTCTGTTCGCTGTGAAAACACAGTGCAGTTCCTAGAGCAATTTAGTTGTTTGTTCTTTGCAAAACTGGCTCTTTATTATTCTTGACATTCTGTCCAAAGATGACAATGTTGTAAATTTACAAAAACAAGAAATCCCAAAACATAATTGGTTTCCCCTGATAGCCAATAACAAGATATTTTTCATAGTTATTTGAATGATAATTTTGGAGATCGACCTATGAGAAGGCCGGAGGCACTACTTGGCTTTCATTTTTCTAACTCCGTGCTGCCTAGCAGTTCCTGGTTTCATACTATGTAAGCACTGATAATTTTGGTATTAGCCAAATTGGCAATTTGCAGCCCCAAGAACTAATAAGGTAGGGGGGAAAAAAGAGACTACACAGTTTGTCCTAATGGATGAGGAGGTTGTGCTGATCTTGTTTAAGCATTATCAACAGATACTACGTCTTCCTAAGATGAGTTTTAAATAAAAACTCCTTGACTCCAAAGGTTGAGAGTTTCTAATTTTTTTGTTCTAAAGTAACAAGGCAAATTGGCCTCTATCACTGTGGTGCCAAGGAATTATCTACTGTAACATTCTCACTGTGTATGAGCCACAGAGTTAGATTTCCCATAAAGAGCACATATATGGTTTTAAAGAAACTGAATACTTAAATTATATTTTAGTAGATTATTTTCGCCTTTGATTTTGCCCTGTTCATGTAAAATATTTCAGCTGTAAAAAAAAAAAAAAATTATAACTTTAGAAAGCATGTAAACTGTTTTTATTTCTTAATTGGGTAACATGGTATTCCAATATTTTGCAGTACATGATCAAAGTAATACCCAAAGGTATTTCTCTTGTATTAGTCCTGTTAAGATTAATATCTCCATTGTAACAATGTGGATATGTTGCATCTTTCTTTGTGTGTCCTGTATCTTTTTAAAAGAAAATTCCGCTTGTTTCAGTCAATATGACAAGTCTGAATTTATGTAGTAAGAATTAATTGATTGAAAAGTGATCCCTTTGGGATACCAGTGGTGTATAGAAATTGGAGAGGGAGTTCCAGTACGTATAAATAGGGCCCTACCAAATTCATGGTCCATTTTAGTCAATTTCACGGTCATGGGATTTTAAAAATGGTAAATTTCATTATTTCAGCTCTTTCAATCTGAAATTTCACAGTGTTATAATTACAGGGATCCTGACCCAAAAAGGAGTTGTGGAGGGGTTGCAAGGTGATTGTGTGGGGGGGGAAGGATACTGCTACCCTTACTTCTCTGGTGTTGATGGCAGCGCTGCCTGCAGAGCTGGGCGGCTGGAGAGTGGCAGCTGGAGGCCGGGAGCCCAGCCCTGAAGGCAGAGCCGCTACCAGCAGCAGTGCAGAATTAAGGATGGCCGGGGATGGTGTTGCCACCCTTATTTCTGTGCTGCTGTCTGCAGAGCTGTGCCCTCCGTCAGCAGCCACCACTCTAGCCACCCAGCTCTGAAGGCAGCACAGAAGTAAGGGTGGCAACATAGCAACCACCCTAAAATAACCTTGTGACCCCACCGTAACTCTCATTTGGGTCAGGAACCCCAATATGAGAAATGCTGGTCTCCCCCATGAAATCTCTACAGTATAGAGTAAAAGCACACGAAAGACCAGATTTCACGGTCCGTGACGTGTTTTTCATGGCCGCGAATTTGGTAGGGCCCTACATATAAATCCATTGCCCTTGAGCGATGTTGGCTTGCATGTGGGGCAGACCAATTCCAGGCTGATTTAGAGTATGTATAATGGATAGACTGGTGGCAGTGGATAGCAGGGCTGAATAAACAGCCTGGACTGTTAATGCTGATGTGACGCAACGTTGGGAAAGACTTTTGGTCACAGCCAGTGCAGTGATGTGCATTTCAGAAAAGGGGATGAAGAGAGAATTGCAGATATTCCGCATTCCTTTCAAATGTATACATTTAGCATATTTCATTGCTTAATTTATTTCATGTTTTAAATTTGACTTTTTTCCTGTCTTTCTCACTCCCCCAGGATTTTCGGATGTTGATCATACCTATGCGCAAAGAACTCAGCTCTTTGATACATTAGTAAATTTCTTTCCTGACAACATGACTCCTCCTAAAGGCAACTTGGTAGACCTCATCACACTGTGACAGAAAAATCACTGGACATGTGAAAGGAGAAAAAAGCATCCATTTTCAGTATTTTAATTTTTTACTGCATTGATTGACTGCTGTGTGCAGTAATATAGTGACCCCTGGGTCTTTGAAAGGGGCTTTATACTTGTATAATGAATACCTGAGGTTTTTCCCCTTGTTGAATTAGGCTAATAAAATGTAACTGACATGTATATATTTTCTGATTTTGACTTAAGAGTTAGCAAATACAAGAAGAAATCAATCATGCAGTCATTTTTGCTTTTAGGGGAAATGCTAAGATATTTCAGGCTCCTGGAAACTGAAGATGGTTTTACTTTGTTTTTTTTTTTTATTTTTAAAATGCCCCTTGCTTTATTGTAACTAATCATGACATTTGCTTTGCCCTACTGGCTTTATTCACAGCAGTTGTGTAACTTGGCAGCAGGACACTGCTGTTCGTTAAGGTAATGTGTCTTCACTGATTTGAGTCCTGTAATTGTAATGTACAGTGTGAAGGAGGATGTCTCTCAAATTTTCCACCCTCTTAGACTGAGAAACTGACTAACACTAGTGTGTAATTGGATTTGCTATAGAGTGTGAACATAAATATTTAGCTGGTGCTACTGTAAATGCCTGGCTTCCATTCTCTGAAGCCTTAAAGTTGGCAGTCAAGTTTGAACCTCAGAGAAACCATTGAAAATAGCGTGCAGGAGGTGCTGGTACAAGCATTTCTTCAGGGATGGTTTTATGTCTGTGCCTCTTCTGTGCTGCTTTCATGACACACTTTGCAAGTCCTTGTAAAGTTCTACAGAATTGGATCTTCCACATCCCCCATGCACACGCTGCACCTCTAAAGCACTTCAGTCTGGATGCAGTTTTCCAAAGCAGAATGTCTGCATTTACGTACATGTTGGCTCTGTGCATATATTTGTGTGAATGTGAAATTTAATGAGGATTGTTCTCAACAGCTTGTTTTTTGTCTTTGTCCTATGTAGCCACAGCTCGTTTAAGTGCATCTTCAAATTATTCCATGCACAAAGGCCTCTCCCTTCATTTAAAGGATGGATCTATTAAAATAAGTTGAATGCATACGTCCAGAAAGAGGACTTTATTTTCTCCCTTGCAGAAAACATTCTTTGTATGTAGGCCTAAGGGGTTGGAGCTGCACTGTGTCCGTAAAGTATAATGAAGGACACATGCGCCTAGTGTTAGCATATACTTAAATTCTGCAGTGCCAGAAAGCATGCAGTTCAAACTGGTTGATAAGTTATATAAAGACTGTAGAGATTCATGTCTAGAGGGCCAGCAGCCCATAGGACATGAATCCTGAATTTCCTGTGTCTGAGTAACTTCCACTGAATTTACTGGAAGTATTGTGTGTGCAGGGATGATGGATTAGACGTTTTTAAATGAAAAGAAATGACAGTCAAGAATATTTTTTCATAGTTCTAGTATCCTTGTGCTTTCATTCAGTTAGTCCCCTTCTTCCTCACATTTTATTTCCAGTATGAGTACATTGGAAATCATGAAGAAAAAATGTGTAATATTTATCTTATTAAACTATTAAACACCCAGAAATTAACAGTACATTAGAGGCTGGATTTACTTTAAAAACTAAATGATTAGATTTGACTTTTTTTTTCTTGAAAGGATTATAGATGTTGCTTTTTTTAAGTTACCGCTAACTTACTGTTTGGCAAGTAAGTTAATGTAGTTAACAGATAGCAAATCAAAAAATCAATGGAATACAGTTTAGCAAATACAATCTGGTTAAATGTTCCAAAGGAACAATGTCCAAAAAGAGAAAAAATTTCTCAAGTGACATGAAAAAGTGCCATGCCACAGGTTTTTTTTACTGCATGTTGTAACCTTCTGGTTCTTTGCTAGATAATGGCTTTGTTAATCTTGTTGCTTCCAATAGCACTGTGCCATAGCACTGATGTTCTGTAGCTAAACTAAATTTTTCAGTCCAAGTACTGAGGTTTACAATGCTGTGTGCCGTTTATCTTGGGAGTATGATTATGCATTCTGTTCACAGAAACAAACTTGCTCACAACCTCAAGCGGGTGATTCTTGTTTTTTGGACTGGGTTGGTTTGTTTTTCCCAAAAAATCTTTCTAAGCAGTTTACCCAAGCATTTACTTTTCTAATTTTCATTTTTCTAGCTGGTGGGTTTTTTGGTTCAATTTTATTTAAACAAAAATAAAGTTAAAAGGTAACAAAAAAACCCAAAGTGAAACAATTACATTAAATAGCAACCCAAGAGTAGGTTTAGTGGAGGATCTAATAAAAACACCAAACGTATTCAGGGTAGTAACCTCATTGAGAAGCATATCTTGCAAATCAAGCTGTGATTAAGTGACAACATATTCACTTTACTGAAGTAAAGCATGATCTGATGAGAGATTTGCAAACATAATTGACTAGGGTGTGTGTGTGTTGTGATTTCGCTGAAAACTACGAGGACTAAAATTCTCAGTTTTCATAGAATCATAGAATATCAGGGTTGGAAGGGACCTCAGGAGGTCATCTAGTCCAACCCCCGGTTCCAAGCAGGACCAATCCCCAATTAAATCATCCCAGCCAGGGCTTTGTCAAGCCTGACCTTAAAAACTTCTAAGGAAGGAGATTCTACCACCTCCCTAGGTAACGCATTCCAGTGTTTCACCACCCTCCTAGTGAAGAAGTTTTTCCTAATATCCAACCTAAACCTCCCCCACTGCAACTTGAGACCATTACTCCTTGTCCTGTCCTCTTCTACCACTGAGAATGGTCTAGAACCATCCTCTCTGGAACCACCTCTCAGGTAGTTGAAAGCAGCTATCAAATCCCCTCTCATTCTTCTCTTCTGCAGACTAAACAATCCCAGTTCCCTCAGCCTCTCCTCATAAGTCATGTGTTCCAGCCCCCTAATCATTTTTGTTGCCCTTCGCTGGACTCTCTCCAATTTATCCACATCCTTCTTGTAGTGCGGGGCCCAAAACTGGACACAGTACTCCAGATGAGGCCTCACCAATGTCGAATAGAGGGGGATGATCACGTCCCTCGATCTGCTCGCTATGCCCCTACTTAGTTTTAAAGTTCTCTGTTATATATAGACAGACACACAACGGCAAATGTTCAGTCATGGGCTTAAGCCTGCTCTGTGCTAGGGGAGGTTGTGGATGCCTGCAAGTGCAGAAAGTTAAATTTGCTAGCTTAGTACTTCCTACACAGTGACTGACCATCCTGTCTCTTATCCCGAGCTAATGGGAGTACTTGAATATCAAATATTGACACACCTTTGCTGTGTACACAGACAAGGTTTACCAATCCCCCCACACACACACACTGCCCCCCCATACACACACCACTCAGTGTGCACTTTATTGCTTCTAGCTGGTGATTAACCAGCTGCCATTTCCACAGCTCCCATCCTTTTTAAGAACTGCTTTATGTACAACCTGACACAGCAAATGTATTGGCTGCTGTATATTTGTGGAGCAATAGAGGCACCCTGTGGCAAGACAGGTTTATCCAAAATGAGTATTTCCTATGGATTTATTAAAGGGTATCCACTACTTCCGTGCCCTTTTCATGGTTAGTAATCATAATTCAATGATTGGTGCTTTGCCATAATATACACTGCATCTCTTGTATAGCTGATAAAAATAGATAGTATAAAAAAACTTACTGCTCAGTTTCCTGAGAATGTACAGAAATTCCTGTAATAGCCTGTTAAAGTATAATTGTGATATTAGATTTTGAGGTTGTATTATGCGTGGGCTTAAGTTGTGAGTGTCATTCCAGGAACTTATTAGCTCAAAGCATTATGGAAATACAAAAGTCCAAACAGAAGAGATCCACCTTCTTGTTTGGAAGGGTCATTTTAGAAGACATTTCGTGATGTAGGCACTCACTGGATAACAGCATAAGTGTGAACACATGCTTTACTTGGTACCATCTCGGTACTTGATCCTGCTGATTACAAAGTGCCTCAAAACACTTTAACAGAGAGCCTGCTTCCCATTTGCTTAAGTGAACACTTTTTTCCCTACCAACTGAAGTCTGTAAAACAAAGACTATTTTAACACATAGCTGGTTTATTTGTAACAATTTATAAGGCAAAAAACTTTGCACCAACAATTTGAAGAATCAGAAGCGATAATTTAAATGTCTGCTATTCTCAGTGCTTTCTAACTAGTGGAGACTGAGACAAACTGAGCCAATGACTACTGATATTGGTCTTCAGGATGTTTGTCCTTGGGATGGTGCTCAGTAGGTAAGTGTTTGTTCGCACAAAGGTTGTTTTATGTTAATGTTCCTGAGAAGCTGTGTATAAATCTTCCTCAGAAAACACGGCCTTTTACCTACTGCAAATGGCCAAAACTGAATCCAATGTTGAATGTATAGTCTTAGACATGGGTCATGAACTTGGGGCAGTGGAAACAATCACTGTATCACCCCAATTGCCAATGGGTCAGAAGGCAGAAATCCATAGATGTCCATGTGTTTTAGGTAAACCTGTATCTTTTGGATTCTTTCAGAAATGGTATCTTCAGGTTAAAGCACCATTGTAATATGTTTAAACATATTTGCATGAGGCATATAAATGCAAGGGACAAAAGGAAGCTTTTTTTGCTTAGTTTTTTTAAGAAATCAAATTGACCAACATTCCATTTGACTCTTATCTGTTGTGAAAGGTCTCAATGGCAGCATTCCTACAGTGGTGGGACATTAATGTTGTCTACACCTGTCTGCAGGGTGGTAATTATTTAAACTAGTTACATTTCTTATCCATCCTGACTCTTGCTGAGAGAGTTTCAATGTATAGTTGGTCATAATTCAAACTTTTTTTCTTGCTGATCATGGTGAAGGGTGGTCATTCCTTGAAATCAGAAGATATGCTTATTCTGCCCTCTGCTCCCATGCACAGTACCCCATATATGTAGTATTAGATGGGAACAGTAGAAATGTAAATAAATACTGATCTGTTAGGTTGCCTATGATTTTGTGTGTATATGTAAATTGCAGGTTAATTTATGAGTAAGGCCACAGGTACTGTGTATGGAGTTGTTTTCAAAACCATGTTGAAGCATTTATTTTGAAAAAACAGTGCATGCAGACACAGTTGCAAAGGGTTTGCAAATAGATCTTCTAGGTAGATCTGCCTTGATAATGTACTTCAGAAAAACCTCTGCACTGATTTCTTTCTCTGAGAATAGTTTTGACTGTGACACGGAGCTGGCACCCAATTTAGGCATTCTTTTCCCTGACCATGGAGTTGCTTGAGGAAACAGTCTTTCTTGCCAGAGACATCAGTCATGTGAAAGCTGGTGAACAGAGTATAATTCATCTTTAAGTTCGCATAGCTCTGTTCCTAAGAATGAAGTGCAGTAAAGAATCCATTATCTCTGGATGGGAGATATTGTCACATCTCTTACGGTCGTTGCTTTTCCTTTCTTCTTCCCAGAAGCTAAAAAGATCTGTAATCCCGTGTGTGGAAATGTACTTTATAAAATCAGTTGCTGGAGGAAACAGATTTGGTATATTGAGTTTTTTTTTCACCTGTTTCTTCTAGGAACAAAAACCAGGAAGTCTTACATTGATCATGAATTAATCCTATATCCAGTGTAGTAGGTTGCATGTCTGACTTTACGTTTTTTCCTTCAGTAGTTATTTCTCTTGAGATGGGAAGTATAAAAAAGTCATAAATTTGCTATAGCCCACTATCAGCTGAGTTAGAGTACCACACAGATAAAGCATTACAAAACAAGCACCAGTGTAAACTCCACTCAGAGGTGATTAGACAAAGGCTATGTACACAGTACAGCTTAAGTTAGTATAAGTTATGTCGCTCGAGGGTGTGAATAAGCCACCTCCCTGCGTGACGTAAGTTACATCAACCTAAGTGCTGGTGTGGACAGCATCATATCAGTGGATGATCTTCTACCACCACTGGCAGGGCCTGGAGTAATTAAATTGACGGGAGAGCTCTCTCCCATCAGCAAAATTGTCATGAAATTACCTAGCACAGGCATGCAGTATATCTGCCCCAGGCCTTATCTCGATGACTGGGCAAGTAGAATTTTGCCGTGTTAAGAAATGATTTATCTCTTAGTGAGTTGGGAGTAGGTGTTGGTGAAGGAATTTAGAGCAGGTGACTTGGTGTAAGGGAATAAACTGCTTATGTAACCTGGGCAGATTACAGTAATTTAAAGGGAAACAAGTCAAAAAGTTTCTACATAAAGAATACCTGTTGTGTAATGAGGAATGTACAATCCCTAATATTAATACACTTCTGATGGAGTTACAGTGCAAAGGTTTTTTAGTTGAATGCCTCCCCACTGCCCGAGCAATGTGGGAAACAGATACCCATTGCATTGGTGCAGGAGCACCAGAAAGTGAATCTAATTGATATGTGGAAAGTGCATACTCCATGGCCACGTCCAATTTTATTGTTGAGGGTAGCTGAGTGCAGTGGGAGAAGTTAAGTCAGCATAAATGGGAAAGAGTAAAACAGGTAGTTAAACTTACTGTACTATTCTGAGGTAGATTTAGTAACATAAGGGATTTAAAATAAAAAATATTTCGTTAGCGACCCTTTATTTACAGTTTGAAACCAAATCCCAGCTACTGTATTGTTGCCTTGTTCTTCGCCACAAAAAAAGCCAGCTCTGTGGCCTCGGGGAAGCGCTGTGTGCTGCCACAAGGGATACACTGTCAAAGAGATGGAGTTTTTTCCTATATGGTGTTGGGACATGGGGACTCCTGACACTGCTTTACAGCAAGTTCCTCCCATCAGTTTGAGGCCTGGTTCTCTCCAAAGATGACAGCTATTCTTGACGGAGGAGAAGCAGAGGCAAGATGTGGCTGTGGGTGTGGGGGGAGATTGAGACATGATGAAGTGGGGTTGAATTAAGCAAAGACGACTGCTCTTTCAAGGGCATGGGGTTTAAAATAGCGGCTAAGAGAGCCCTGGAAGATATAATTGCATCTGGACTTCAAAAGAAGTTATAAAAATCTTTCAAGAGGTTGCTAAGGAATCTTGATAACTATGGCATGGAAGGAGGGGAAGCTGTCACAGACCAAACGCTGGTTTAGTAGTAGAGAGAAAAGACAGGAATAAGCAACTAAGGGCTTGTCTACGCTACTGCTCAAGTCGATGTAAGTTCTGGCGCTCAGGGGTGTGAAAAAATCACCTCCCTGAGCAATGTAAGTTGCATTGATTTAGAGTGATAGCCACGCAGCACTGTGTTGGTGGGAGATGCTCTCCTGCCGATCTAGCTTCCGCCTCTCACTGAGGGACAGTTATGCTGATGGGAGAGCACTCTCCTGTTGGCATAGTGCTTCTTCACCAGACACTACAGCGATGCAGCTGCACCAACGTAGCGTGGTAGCGTAGACTAGCCCTAACTTTTGGCTTGGGAGGATGCTAATGTGCATGTAGAGTAGTTGCAACTAACTCGGAAAGTACCCGGCAGCTTAACAGAAAGTTCTGCTTGATTCAGAGCCAAAGAGTGAAGATGATGGGTTGCATTACAAAGGGGATAGAGAATAAGAGGAAAATACAGTATTGAAGCTATAACGTAACTCAGTAAAGTGCCCTCCTTGAAATCCTGAGTCTTGGTAATTTTTACTAAATAAGCACTTTTTTAACTGCGTAGTTGGCCAAGTGCATTATCAGTGGCTAACACTTTCCTCTGAAAACCACTGGGCGTGGTTCGTTTATTTGTGAATGTGATTTTAGAAGATACTGTGTGCAGCTTTATACTGTCTGCAGCATAAGGACATCAGCTTTAAGGTATTTAATTATTGCTCTTACTTGGCTAGTGCCATTAATTGAATTGGAAAATGAGGATTCTGTATATACACTAAAACAGCAGTTCTCAAACTGGATCACAACCCCCTTTGAATAGGGTCACCAGGGCTTGCTGAAGCCCGAGCCCCACTACCCAGGGCCTAAGCCAAAGCCTGAGGGCGTCAGGACTCAGGTTGCAGGCCCCCTGCCTGGGGCTGAAGCCCTTGAGCTTCAGCTTGGCCCCCCGTCCTGGAGTGGTGAGACTTGGGCTTTGGCTCCCCCCAACCAGGAGGCAGGGTTCGGGTGGGCTCAGGCTTCGGTCCCCATCCTGGGGTCATGAAATAACTTTTGTTTTCAGAAGGGGGTTGCGGTGCAATGAAGTTGGAGAACCCCTGCACTACAAATTCCTGGAGAAATAGGATTGTTTGTTTGGTAATCGGTGTTGTCAGGTGTAGGCTCTGTTTTGCTCATGTAATACTAATGACACTTGAGGAATCAGTCATTCGCTTCCAGGTTTCTGGCCTTTTAAAAAGATGTCTTGCTTTGATGGGTAATCATTTTGCCACTTCGTGAATTTAAGTGTTCGGGAAACAGGGTTTCTTTTTCTCCTTTCCAATATCGTCTGTGCCATCTAACCATACTGATGGATGTCAGTTTGCTAAACTTTGAAAATAAGTGGTGACACATTGACACTGGTCTGAAACAACCAGGGATAATACCTTGCCCTACTCTTTCAGCAACTTCTCCAGTATGTTAACCTATGTGTTTTTAGTGGTGCCATTCTTTGATTTCTTTGAAAGGGAGAGGTTAAAATGTTAGTCATCCTCCGAGAGAAGGCAAAACTGCCTTTCCATCCATTCTTTAGTCCCTGGAGAATTAGACCCGTTGACAAAACTATTTTTCATGTGTGGTGAACTAGAGAGAGGCCTCATGCCCAAGAGGAGGGGAAGGGAAGCACATGACTTGTTTGTTTTGGCTATAGTTCTGACAGTGGTGTAGCTTATGCCACAGCTGTGAATATTGGTGTATTAGATTGATGTAAATGTGTGGTAACACAGTATTACAGTGAGGAGCTCTTTAATATTTATTAACATGGGCACAGTGTGTGTTTAATCACTGTACTGTCATGAAAGGGTCGTGCTAAAAACATTAGGTTGCGGTAATCGGAATTTTTATGCAAGATTTTTGCTCTCTGGAAACCACCTATGTTCTGATGATCCAAAAAAAAAAAATAATAATTTGGGGAAACTGTGGCATAAGATGGCATAAAATGGCATAAGAACACTGTGGCTCAGGAGTTTGGCCACAGAATCTTTCACCTCTAGGACACTTATTGAAATCCAGCAGAGAATGGTTATGGTACCATCTGATGAAGTCCTCACTACCGTCTCAAGTGACCCCAATACAAATTACTCCAGTTAGTTCAGATGGTCTGTGTTGGCATCCTCAGTAGAGGAGCAAAGGATTGAATGGAGATGAAGCCTGGGTTACCCAAGTATGCCTGGGGTTACACCCCTAGGCCTCCAGAACAGGGCTATGTCCTACCAATAGTGAGTAGTGTGCAGGGACCTTGTATTACTGTTGTCTATGTTGTGCCTGAGGTTAACTTGAGGATTTAAATGTCCAGGATTGCCAGTACAGCACCTTTCACAAACACTGTCATTAAAAAATAAATGTAAACATTAGCATTGATGCGACCTTGTTTAGTTTTAAGTCCATTTTACTTTTGAGTCCTAAACTGTTAATCTGGGCCAGTTTCTATGTGCAGGTGAACTCCAAGCTCTTTCTACCTGCAGTGACCTGAGTTTGGGGTTCTGTTTCTGAAGTTAACCCCAGTGAGCACCTTCCTTCTAGGTGCTGGCATGCCATCACCTATTGCATCAGAGGAAGAGAACTTTCAACTCAGGCTTTGGCATGTCAGTGAGAGGGAGAGCAAGATGGGGGAACAGCCCTGCATCTGTTTCCTTGTAACAAGCCTGCTGAGATTCCATTGGTTGGTTTGGAGTTTTAACTATTTGAGGGCTGCTTGAATTTCATTAGCAGCATTCAACATCAGTGTGGCATCGTAATTCATTAACTAGGTGAACGCAGGTCAGGATAAACTGCTTTACTATTGACCTTTTAAAGTCACATATGTGGAAAATGAAAATGTTTGTGGCTAGTTTTTTTGCATATTCCAATGGACAGCAGTTGATCATCCAGGCCTTCTTCCCAGTTCCTTACTCTATAGCATGTTCTTCTCCATTGTTGCTATTCATTCCTCGCCAAGGTCCAGAGCACGTCTGATTTCCTGATGCTGATGTACTGAAGGGGACTCTTCTTGAATGGAGGCTGTGGTGGATCATGTTCATTCCCTTCCTTTCATCAGGGCATCATTGTGACCATTTCTGTCCAGAGCGCCTCAACATCACTCCTAAAATAAGGAGTTGCTACAGATTGTGCCAGCCCTGAGCCACACTCTCCTCGAGGCCTGCTGGCCCAAGAACAAAGGACACGAAATCGTGCATGCTGATCCCCCCAGCAATAGTGTTATGTTCTGCCACTTATACTGCTGTACAGGAGACAGCTGGCTATTCGCATCCCTCCAAACAACCAACATTCTGGTCAGGACCTAGAGGCCCCAGACTGTAATAAACCCGCATTCCTAGGGTGGCATATGATTTTATATTGCATTAGCAGTGTGCTGGCCTCTTTGCAGAAGTATGAGGACAGAGATCTTGTGTTGAAGTTAACAAGTTAAATAATGGATTGAGGATTATGCTTGTGTCCTGAAGATATTAATAGTCAAAACAGTTAATTATCAACTTCCAGGGTTTATTCTAAATTGCAGACTCCTCTGCCCTCCTTCCCTGTTGCAAATAGGAAGAGAAATAGAGTAGGGACAGGAGGGAGGGTAGGCCTCATAAACTGCTTTATTAACTGGGCTGTTCCATATGCAAAAATTTTTGAAACCTCTCCCCTCCCTTTTCACCTCCAATCTAAAATTTGCACCATTAGGAATGAATGTGTCCTCCCACTATCCAGATTCCTTATAGATTACCCACCTGGCCCCTTTTAAAAATGAAATTAGTGCAAGAGCAGCATCTTCCAAATGCCAGGGCTGCACTTCAGGCAGGCTTTGCTGCCTCTCTTCTCCACACGAGAGCATTAAATTGATGTATAATGTTAGACCATGCTTTTTCGCTCACTGTGCCCAGCTGCAAAGAGAAGCAAATCTGTTTAGAACCTGTTAGGACATGTCAGATGCAATACAGAATAATCAACAAACCAACCAGAAGCGGCCATCTTGAAAGATGAAAAGTAGGACCTAGAAAATACATCTGACAACTGGAAGCAAGGGAGATCCAACTGGAAGATGTTCTAAGGTTCCTTCTACTTAAAGCTTAACAAAAAAAAAAGTGACAGGTTTCTGAGTAACAGCCGTGTTAGTCTGTATTCGCAAAAAGAAAAGGAGTACTTGTGGCACCTTAGAGACTAACCAATTTATTTGAGCATGAGCTTTCGTGAGCTACAGCTCACTTCATCAGATGCATACCGTGGAAACTGCAGCAGACTTTATATACACACAGAGAATATGAAACAATACCTCCTCCCACCCCACTGTCCTGCTGGTAATAGCTTATCTAAAGTGATCATCAGGTGGGCCATTTCCAGCACAAATCCAGGTTTTCTCACCCTCCACCCCCCCCCACAAATTCACTCTCCTGCTGGTGCTAGCCCATCCAAAGTGACAACTCTTTACATAATCAAGTCGGGCTATTTCCTGCATAAATCCAGGTTTTCTCACATCCCCCCCACCCCCATACACACACAAACTTAGGTGAACTACTTTTAACTGAAAACAGAAGAAGAGGTCTGTACTGAAATCTCAGCTCCCACGGACACACCTACACTGTTCCAAGCTTTGTAGACACTAAATGGCACGTTTCTCAATGTTGATTTAAAAATTCATTTTGTATAATTACCTAATACATCGCTATCCAAGGTATTGAACGAATTGATACACACTTCCTTCAAACACAGAACTGCTGCAGGGTGCTACAACTGCCTTTTCACAGAGTCTCTTGTCTTGATCTTCGAAATCTTTGGGAAACGACTTAGTTCTGTTCTGAGAGAAAAGTGATTTTTAAAAAGTGTCCGTCTTCAGTTCTGATAAACTTTTCTCAATTTACAAGTGCATAAAATGACTAACTGAAGAGATTCTGGGATCCAAACACCAGCCATTCTTTCTGCCTCCAATACCTATTTCTGCTGTCGGCTTTGCTGCTGCATGAGACAGGAGAGTAGCCAGCTTGCTCTCCTGTAGCCGTGTTGACTCTGCTGCAGGGGTGAAGAGAATTCATTAATTTGCTTTGGTTAAACTCTACGTGTAAGACTTAGTGAAGCCTGGGGAGCAGCTTTGTTGAGTGAGAAGCTGGATTTTTTTAACCCTTTCCATCCTGTAGCTATGCTTGATTCTTTCAATTACCAGGATATTTTAAAAGGCAGAATAGCATTGAAAATGTAATGTCTTCATTTTTGTCCTCATCTGCTGCAGGTTAATGTCTTAAGGTTGCCCCCTTGAGGTGAGAGTGAGCACCTTGCTTACCTCCCATGTCATTCTCTGGGCAGCTACAACCCTGTGCTCTGGTTGTAGGGCTTAATCTTGCAAACTGTTCCTGTGAAGCTGATACGAGTTCTGTACATTGTTTGCAGAGTCTGACTTAAAATCAATGGCCTGATGGCTGGGTTTTCAGTCTACTAACTTGGACTCTCTAGTTCACTCTGGGATATTGCGAGATTTCATTCCAGCAACTTCTGCATATGATTATCAGATTGATTTTACACATGCAAACTTTTGAGGTGTGACCTGGCATCAGGTCTTTGTAAATGTTTTCCCTCTCACCTTAAAACACCTAGAGCAAGTTTTGTATCTCTAGGGTCACTGGCTGCTTGGACTAAGCTGTGACAGTCTCAGTGGATGTCATTAAAAACTCCACACCCAACAGTTGTTGGACAGAGATGCACCAAGCCCTATGTATATAGAGAGGCTACAGTTATTTACAGTACCTTGGACAGTGACTGCAGAGATTTTAATGCTGCCCACCGCAAACTTTTCCCCTTGTACCATTTGGGCAAACGGCCATTATCCTCCATCCCGCTATCTTGAGTTAGTAGCACCTGCTTAATTGATGATTTATAGTCATGATAATCTGGGAGGGGGATTGAATCTTACATTGCGTGGTTCCCATGAATGCTAACACGACTTGTGCCTGCACAAAGAGAATATATGTTGACTGTTGTCATAGTCTTTGAAATAGAACCCCATTCCTTACCCTTCACCCACATTAAGCCCCCAAAAGCTGTCCCCCATATGGTGCTTTGAGATCTGAACTTCCCCTAGTCAAGAATTTGGCACATCTACATTTCTGTTTAATCTTGGACATGGTGCCTAGCTGCATTTCTAGGACAGTCCTAAGTACACTTGTGCCCATTTGAGTCCTGTTAGGTGGACATTCACTGATCATTTGCCTTACCTTCAACCCCTGCCGTAGGAGATCTGGACTGTGAGTTACAGGAGAACATTTGAATCAACGAGGGTCCTGCAGAAAGACAATCTGTGAGTTGCAGTGACATTTTCATGAGCAGGTCGAGGTCCGTACTGAATACTCATACAGAGCTCTTAGGACACACACCACAGTAATAATGAATGCTCCGAGATACTGACAGAATTGACTATCTGGATCTGTCACCTCTTCCTGACCTATCACCTCAGCTATTGAGGTTTTTTTTTTTTTTTGCGGCTTGGAATGTTAATTTCCCTTCTCTGGCCCTTGGCCATGTTATGATTCCTGGGTTGATAAATGTGTAAGCACTGTTCTGTGAATAAATGAATGGGTGAGCTGGTGAACAATGAAAAATGTAGAATTCTGCTGTATGTAATGTACATATGGAAAGAATGTATTTTCATTTTTTTCTTAATAAAATTATATATACCAACAGGATGTGATATTTTGGCTACTGTGTGTTCATTCCAGGACCATTTTCTCTTAGGAACTGAATGCACCTTTTGGAGGGGGCACATGGAAATTGTGAGTGTTTTGGTACATACTGAATGTGTATTACAGGTTTCCTCAAAAATAATTGGGGCAAGTCTGTCTAGCATTCTTGTATGCCACAGAGAGAGCTGAAAGGGTATCCTGAGTACTGAAATCAGTGTTTAGCTGTGTCTGTGTGCCATGGATCTGGTGCTTAACAATCAATCACAGCTTTTGTATTTGTAAGTAATATACAGTCAGAGCATATGTTGGGGGTGGGGGGAAGATGCATAAGTGGGATAAAATGCAAACAGTGACATGTTCAGGAGACACTCCTCCCACCCTCCATGGAACAGTCAGCCCATTCACTAGCATGTTTCTGGGTTTCAGGCACTGTACAGGGATTGTGGTGAGGTGTCCACCGCACACAGGATTAGGAGGCGTTCATGGAGGCCAGATGGGCTAATTAACCTAGTAGATTAAACACTGAGAGGAAAGCCCTAATTAGAGGAACAGGCTCACCTGTGCAGGAACGGGTGGGGCCTGTCTAAAGCCAGGTAGCTGGCTACAGATGGGGGCTGTTGCTGAGAAGGGCTGCAGTCACTCTTTGAGTCGAGGGAGTTGGAGGCTGGCAAATACAGAGTGGGGGAAGCCATATAAGTAGGAAAAGGCCCAAGGAAACAGCAGCAAGAGGTAGGACTGTACAGGGACTGTGGCTGCTTGTTATAGGGTCCCTGGGCTGGAATGCAGTGTAGAGGGTGGGTCTGGGTTTCCCTCCCAGCCACTAGGAAGTGGCAAGGGCTTGGCTATGCCAGCCAGTGGGTCTGGACTTTGAATTCCCCAGAACGGGAGGACCTTAGTGACCTGGCAGGAGAGCCACGCCATGAAGAGGAAACTGCAGATCTGGGAGTGAGTACGGGCTGCAGAGCAAGGCAGGACGGGGAGAAGATGCCACTGGAGGGAGAGCACAACCCTGGAAGAGTTCATTCCCAGGGTGGCCAGCAGGCGCTGCCACTCACAGTGAGTGGACCCTGTGTCAGGGATGTTTAACTCAAAGCAATCTTAAATATTGGAAATATACTTGCAATTTATGCTTCATTTGTGGCAATGTTCCTTTATCGCAAGCAGTCCCCGCTTCGCCCCAACCAAAAACTAAGTCCTGTTTTACACACAAGAATGTTTATTGACAGAAATACATGGTGTCTTCAAAATATATTTTGTAGGAAAATGCAAGAATTATAATCTCTACAATCCAGTTGCTCAGTAACTTCCAGTGTAAATCAGACTCCTGTCCCTACGAGAGATGCCACTCTACAGCACACAAGATAGCTGTATTGTGTACATGTGAAACATTCAACAACAAAATAGCCTCTTTAAACATGTATTTTCCCTCCCCACAGTCTGTTTTGGGTATAATTTTTCTGTGGTGGCAGTAATATAAACCTCCTGTCAGCTGGACCATGGCATATGACTATGAGCATAAAATATGCATTATTTACACTTTCCTTCTATGATTCTGAAAATAGAAGTCTTGCAAGAACTTGTCTTACCAAAATGTGAAGGTAACACTCTCTATTTGTACAGTGTATCTTTACGTTAAAGCTATTGTTTTTGGGAGGATTTTCATTTTTTTGGTCTAACACACAATTATGGCTACATTATACTATGAAGTTTTAAGGCCAAATATGCTCAAAGTTGCATTTTCTAGTTCTCCTATTTCCTAGCGGACTTTGAAGAACATGATCTATTCTGCATCACTTTCCATTCTTCACAGGAAATCTTTATTTAAAAAGTGGGAGGGGAAAAAATCTATATTTTAAGTTTCTTGTGGTTTAAAAATATGGTGTTATGGAAAAATAAATAAATTTCACAATTCCCCTTCAAATGTTTAGTCACTGCTTGCTGAGCAATGTTGTTTGCTCTGAACGAGACCTGTAATTTCAGTGTCAGGCCCTGGGCCTGCACCGTGTTCTTCCAATCTGTGATATCAGGTCTCTGCACCCCGTTCAGCAAAGCAGTTAAGTATAGATCTGATTTCAGTAGGGCTTAAGCATGCGCTTAAAGCTGAGAACCACTTTCTGCTCCAAGTGCAAGGCGCATATTTTTGATCTTGCCTCCTCTAACATAAATAGCAACATGTATATTTAAAAAACAAAACAAAAAACACCCTAGCATGCCTAAACGTGTGGTTTTCGGCTGTGGTTAGGGTGAGAGAACGAGACAGATGTTCGTCACGTGGCAGAAGGCACTCGGGTGCTCTGGTGATGAGCATGGTATAAGAACATACATAGAGAAGAAGTTAGTTGAATAGGGATGATTTGCTGAATTGAGGCCTTTATGATGATATCCTGCAATTAAAGATTCCTTGGCACAAACAAGCAAGAGAGACCCAACATTATGTAAAAGGGCAGCCACACAAGCTTGCAAATGGCTGAGTTGTCCATTAGAACAACTGTGAATCAACATGGTTATGAAAGTTATTGGAAATGCTGAGACTAGCTTCTTAAGGCTTTTTGCATCATCACACCAGCAGGTTGAGCCTGTTTAAATATGAAAACAAAGCTGCTTGTTCTAATGCGACAGCATGCTTCAAAGCCTGTCACTTGGCCACTGTTGGTCAGCTTTAGCCATCCCGCTTCACCCTAGAACACAGCAAGTCTTCTGGGCCTACCACAAATCTTAATCTGCAGCTCCCATTGGCAAGCTATAGCCTGAAATGAACATCCCCTTAGTTTGGGTCAGATTCTCATCCCCCTGCTGCAGGCGAAGAAATACTTGCCTGTGTGAGTACTCCTAGCCATTTCAGTGGGGCTGCTCGCAGAGCACTGGGCTCTGAACCTTCGCTTTATTTCCCCCCCAAAGCAGTGCACAAATATGCAAAGTGTGCTAAGTACATTGCCACACCACTAGCAGTAATATTTACATATTGAACATACACTTGTTTACCACTTTTCAGACTCTCTGTGTATGAGAGAAGGGGGAAGGGTTACTTCATATCAGAGAGTTTACCGATTCCTTGTACTGGGTATTCAGTTCTGGTCGAGATCCCTTCCTCCCCCCTAACCTTTAACCTGTGTGAATACCTCGGCTGATTAACACCTGAGACTCCAAAAAGTCTGTTACTTTTTCACCATTCCTGCTGCTCTGCACTTTTCTTGGCCTGGATAGAGAAATGCGTAACACTCCATGCATAGCTCTCTTCCTCAATAAATCTGAACCCGCTCTACCAACGAGAGTAAATATTCCCCTGGATTCACAGATCAGGATCTTGGGTAACATTTTCCCATATTTGTACGTGTCAGACATGTAAGCACCTTGGGCCCATTGGCTTTCACTCACAGTAAGGCTCCTTAAGTGTCTTTTGCTTTTGAAAATGGGACTTTGGTGCTGTTTCTGGAAACTTTACACTTTGAGAGCACAGAGATTAAGGGCCAGATTTTTAAAGGTACGTAGGTGTAACGCTGACAGATCCTGGGTGGGATGAAACCTGGGACTTCTGAGGCTTAGTGTATGAGCCTCTACTGCATGAGATAAAAGCCATGTGCTGCTTAGGTGAGGCTGTAGCAGACTCATACATCTCTAGATGGTCTCGGTGCCACTAGAAGTGGACAGAACATATTAAGCAGGCCTGGGTTACATACTTCCCCTACCTCAGGAAGCATGTCCCAAGCTTCAGAGACTTCCCTGTTATCCTGGGCAAGCTCCCACTTGTAACTGAAACCAATGGAAGTTAGGTGCCTAAATACCTTTTAAAATCCACCCTGAAGTGTTTTGCCCTAGGTTTCCGAGCCAGGGCTAGAACCTATATCTCCAGACTCCCAGTCTAATACCCTGTCCTCAAACCACACTGCCTTTGAATGAAGGAGGTTATTTTCATTTTCTGCATTTCCTGATCCAGCACACGACAGTCTCTGGGTTCACAATGGTGCAGATTAAATTAAAGGGACACGATCCACTTGAGCCTGTTTAAAGTAACTTGTTACCACGACACCTGCCCACGCGACTTCCTGTCACCTATTGTGGTTTCAAGATCTGGTTCCTGTCTTTTAAAATGTTCTCACTGCTGCTGTTGTGTTAAAGACCCACAAAAACAAGAGAGGCTGGTTACACAGGGAAACTGAATTTGATCACGAACAAACTGAAAAGGCAGAGGAAAAATGATTATCTAATCGCTTTCTGTTACAGAAGATGAACAAGATGGTCCTTGTAACAGTCGAGAGTACAGTGTTTAGGGCCAGAAGTGAAGTGAGCTGTAGCTCATGAAAGCTTATGCTCAAATAAATTGCTTAGTCTTTCATGTGCCACAAGTACTCCTTTTCTTTTTGCGAATACAGACTAACACGGCTGTTACTCTGAAACCTAGGGCCAGAAGTGTGATTCCTGTTTTAAAGTGGATGGTGTCCCTTTAAAAAGAGAGAGCAGAAGTAATCGTTTTGGGTTTTGTACTGTGAAAACCTTTTTTTTAAAAACGCACCTAAATTTGGAGCCTAAATAAAGTCAAGCCCTTTTTAGAGAAAAGGATAAATTATTGGGGCTTGGGGAGTTTTTTGTAAACATTGGTCTGAAGTTCTTATGTAGGCAAAAATCCCTTTGATTTAACCAGCCCTTCTGCCAGCCCAAGGGCTATCGGGGCTCTGTCGTAATGTCTGAAACAGATAATGGGTTCTTCAGCACCAGCACCCCAGCCCTACGCCATGAGCCACACAAGGATCCTCCTTGCACCTATCCCAAGCTCCACTGACTTCGGTGAGCTGCAAGGTGGGCGTGAGGGTCTGCCGGGGCTGATCAGATGGCAGGATTGGGGCCTAGATGAGTTTCAGATGGGGAAATACCCTCTTTCTTGTACCCGCTCAGACTTCTGCTTCTTGCCTTCGGTGACGCCTTTTGCAGATTCTTAAAATTAAGCCTGTGCTGGAGGGAGACTTGATAAGAAATCTGGGAAGAAATTCAGAACTTGCTCAGGTTTAGTTCCTGTAGACAAAGCAGCCCTGGGATGATGATGGGTCTTAGGGGAGAGGAGGGAGACAAACAGACCCTGCAAACTCACCGCTAGATCAGACTTTAAAAAAAAAAAAAAAAGTGTCTCAGAAATGTGAACTCTTCTGTTCCCTCCTCCAGCACCTCCTAGAATGAAATTTTGATCTGTCCTGCAATCCTGGTGTATTTCAGGCTAACGCAGCGATGCCCCCTCTAGTGGCTGGAATCTGTACAGTAGCTTGACTTGGCGACTGCCCCCAAGCTAATGCCGCTGCTCCTTTTGCTCATACTTTATCCGCTGGTCCATCCCTGCCCATGACCCAAGCAAGGGCAACACTTAAGAATTGCTCTAGGGTGCCCAGCCATGAAGGGGAATAGCGCTGTACTGTGTTAACGTGAGTGATGCTAGGCTGACCACAGCAACCATGACCTTGGAATTTAAGTGCAGCTCCCTGTGGTTTGCCTTCTGCTGATACCTCTCAAGGCTCTCGCAGGTTTAGATGCCCTGCCTGGCACAATCCAAATCAATAGGTAGGTGATTTCCAAACTGTTTGCCTCCTAAGGTGGCGACATGAAGAGGTGGCTTTTGCTTCACTGACGCTTCCCCGCTGCAAAATCTCATGAACACCTTAGCTGTGGAATGTGTAAACCAAATTGGCCACAAAACAATAGTTTGTGCAATTCATAGCTGCCCTTTCATCTCTGCTACAAGCAGAAGCTAAAGCAAATTCTCTTTTGATTTATAGGTGACTGATGAGTTTGTGGGAGCTGCTAAGCAGAGGAACCTGCAGCCCCAATTATGCATAGGCAGGAGCAGAGTGTAGCCACCCTTCTCTATAATACAGAGGTGCAGCCTACAGGGACCACAGGTCCCAGCACATTTTGATCCAAGTGACTAGGCGGCTCAGATCAAAAGAATACTGCATGTTGGGAGATGTAGTCTCCACACCCTGCACTTCTGTTCATCCCGGCTGTTACACTTTTAACATGCGCCAGGACACCTGCCCGACGTAGCTCACTGGTGAGTTCTCTATGCCTTCAGCAAACCCATAACCCAGCTGGCTCGTGAGAAATTGCTGTGATCGTTCTAAAGTAAAGTAGACGCTACGCTGCAGAGTGGATTTAGTGAAATGGCCTTTTCCTGGGCGCCTTTGTTAATAAACCTTTGCAAAGTGCCCAGAGCAGTGGGGCTTTTAAAGAAAAAGGTCTGAATGTCCAAATCCAGCCCCGGATTTGCCACTGAAGTAAAGTCTTTTCAGCGTGCATCTCAGCACCATCAATCAGCAAACACAGGCTTTTAAAGAAGAAACACTAGAGGGGCCATCCAGACATACCAGTAATACCAGCCTCGTTTGAGAGGTAAAACGGTAACAGAATTGAGGGAACTGTCTGCATGCAGGTGAGAACACTATCCATGTGCTTTTCTTTGCACTTACATTAACTTTTCACAATAGCTGACTCCATATTTAAGAAAATATCCTACACGCACATCTGTTTGAGGCTTTGCAGTTTGTATCTCTTGTAACGTTTTAGATTAAATATTAAGTCAAGCCTTCAGAGCTTGATGCAACCTTCATTCACCTTTCCTACCTTTGAAATCTGTTGATTTCAACTAGGTGTGTGAATTGGCAGAAATTCACCCGTGCCAACTGGATCTGGATAGGACATTGGGCGAGCTCCTCCCCTGATTGATTGCTGAGTTCTCTTTTCCCTTGCAGCTTGGCAGAGCTTTCAAATGAACTGATTGCACAAAACTCTGCCAGAAATGGGACTAGCTCACTTCACTCAGACCAGCTCCAATTTTGGCACCGACTTTAGGTTCCCAGTTCCACTGGGCCCTAACACATTCTTCTGCTTATGGCACAGGGAGATTGCTCGTGTGTGTTTCAGCAGGTCAGTTTCGGTCTGTAAAACAGCCTCGGTCTGTTTTCTTCTAATCCTGTGTTGGGGGCCTTTGCAGTGTTTCTGACTGATCTCAGGAGAGAAACAAATGTCCTTAAAGGAAACCTGCAGTGATTCGCTGACGAGAGAAGCGATTACTGCCCACCATGGAACAGGTGACTGGTTTGGCTCTTTCTAGAAATGCCTGTTGCCGTTTTGCTGTCTCTCTAATAGTGACTGGATTTGCTCTGAGAGCTGCCGGTGTTACTAACGCTTTCCCCCTAGGAAGGCATGTGTGATGCCGCAGAGTCAGAGCTGGGGGGGGGCTAGCCCTGTTCTGGCACATGACAGATTTTCAGGTGTGTAAGAGAATTTTTGGGTTAACAGCAGCTACTTCACTAAGTTTCTCCCCAGCACTAGCCCTTGCCTTACATAATGAGTTTGAATCTCTCCTTTCCATTCATACATTCTTGTCAGAACTGCATTTCCGGACTCTGCCTGCGCACCACACCATCAAGATGGTAGTTTCCTATTTGCCTGCTGTTAGATGCCTTTTATCATCGGTGAGAAACTTCAAGGCGCGTTTTGAGTGAGTTTGTCATTAGCTACAATGATGAAACAGGGAGTTCAGTCCTGCTTCAAATGCAGATCTCACTAAGGACCCTTACGGCAACCCTCCCTAAATAAGTGGTGAGCTTCCTACGCACTTGCCCTTTAAACTTCTATGACCTTTGGGCTAGGAGCTAAAAAAACGGGCTTGGGAATTTCATTTGAATGGCAGAGGCAGAGCAGGTACCTCTTGCTTAGCCTGTTTATGGACACGAGTCCAGCCCAGAATTAAATAACTCTGTTTTATTCGCTGTAGTAAGGACACTACGGTATCTAAAAAATGCTGCATTTTAATGGCTTGAGAAGGCAACATAACACGGCAACATCTACCTACAATGGCTAAAAAACCCCAGCAGAAGTGCAGTCTCGGAGCCTTAACATCACCCCCGTCCTGAAGGAAGGGTGTATCTGCAGTGTCAGTCACACTGCAGGCCAGGAAGGGCCATGTAGGACAGAGGGAGTATTAAGGACCCAGGAGTGATCACTGATGCGTGGCAGGGGAAGCTTTGGTGAATGCAAAGCATTTTCCATAGGGATTCCAGGGAGACTTGGCAAATGACCAGGCAATCATGTGGCTTAGGATGAGGGCAGTCGCTGCTCTTTCCCTTATCTCCTGTGACTTAATAATTGGCACGTCTATAAAGCTTCTCTGCATATAACAAATGGGAAAAACAAAACCACAGAACACCTAAGTGACTTCTTTGAGGTCACACAGAATGGACCCCCCCCAAGTCCCCCGATTATCCTACCCCCAAGCTCTCACCACTAGATGGCACTGCCCCCTCATTTGATTGGAGTGGAACCTGGAGGTCTGACTATTGAGCTGCAGGTGACGGTGGAGTTTACATGGGGGAAAGATCCTCCTTCTTCTGGGGAGCAGTGATGGAAAAAGAACAAACAGGATGCAGAGGCTCACAATGTACTGGGCACTGACACCAGGTGATGCACATGACAGCAGAGCAAAGAGCTGACAGTAGATCGCGAGCCCTTTGCCTCCAGCCCTTCCACCCTGAGTAGCATCCTTCGCTAAGGCAAATCCGCTATGATGCTAACTCGGTTTCTGGAGTACCCCATTAGGCACCAGAGGCTTCTGATCATTCTGAATCCAGGGTTCTCAGCCCGGGCAGGGGGTCATGACCACTCTGCCCGTCCCATAATACTAGATCCAGCTAGACAGAAGAGGTACCAGTATGGAAAAGGATGAGAAGCCCTGCAGGACGCCGTCAACTCTCATCCTTTTACGATGGCCAGAAGCTGAACTTTCTTGTCTCCTCTAGTCAAGGCTTAAATACAGGCACTCTCCCGCTATAGAAGCAAAAATACAACCTAGTCTGGACAGTGAATATGTTTTGATTGAACGACGTTTGGGCCAGAGCAAACTCCAGTCATGGTCTCCTGCCTCAACGGGGCATTCAGGCACCAGTGTGTCTCCTTGCTCCACAGGATGCTCCAAGCGATGGCACTTGTGGCTCTGATCATTTTGGGGCTGCTTTTTTGTTTTGTTTTTTGTTTTTGCTGGTAGAGTTTCATGTCACTTATAAATGCGTGTCCTCCTCTCCCTCCAGCTCCTCTTTTGTGAGGTTGTCCATGGGGACAATCCAGCTGTCTCCCAGCTCCCCGTTCAGGTTCACCTTCTTCTCCTGCATCTCTGAGGAGGTCTCCATCACCTCCAGGGTCGGGTTGTCATGGTAGCCATTCTCCATGGTCTGTAGCTCTTCTGTCAGGCGTTGCTGGAAGGGGACAAGAGAAAAAAAAAACACAGAAATCTGTGGTGAAAACAAGTGTGTGGTCTGTCTGTGGATAAACGTACAGCATTTCCTAGCTGCCAACCTTATCCTCACAACATCTGTCCACACTGCACAGTCATCTCACAACCAGACATGTTAGTGTGACGTTCCTGGCGATGACCAAAACTAGACTAGGCAGGGGTGCTGTAGGCCAGGGTGGAAGTGTGCAGCAATGGGGATGGAGGGGCATGGACTGGAGCAGGCCGGGGTACTGTGGGTCAGGACTGAGGTACCGTGGTGGGGCTCTGTGGAGAATCTTATAACACATCTGCCAGCTATGCCTGCCTTTGACGCTAGGCAATCAGTGAATTTTAAAAAGAGAGTGAGTCTGAAGTGCAGTGCAGCTGGTGGCTCGGTTCTACCTCAGCTCCTCACGCCCAGGGCCAGAGACGGGCAGTCTCCCCGGCTCACCTCACTAGCTCCTGATTCCTTCAGCGACACCTTTCCTGAGCTCAGCGGCACATCGTCATTCAGAACTAGCCTGCTCCACTCTGTTTTCTGCACCTGTCTTCCTGGCATTCCCAAGGCAAGAAAAACCCTGCTCTTCAGGTCTGAACCTTCTTTAACCGGGGCCACCCTTGGTTTACAGTGCACTTAGTCACAAAGTGCCTCTATATAAATAATACCATGGAGTCCTATCTTAGTCCTCTGTCATAGATGGGAAAGGACAAATAGCCCATCCGCTCCATCTCCCCTTAGCCATGAAGAATTGTTCTCCATTCTATGCTCCCCACTGTCTTTCTTGTCCAGGCTCGTCCCAAGGCATTGGGATTCACTATTTCATGCCTGACTCACCTCATCTTTCTAGTGATATGGTGCCTGGAAATGAATCTGATGCTCTAAGAACGGTCACACCAGAGCGGCAGGGATTATTAGTTCCCTGCTCTGGCTGTGATGCCCAAGCATGTGCAGCTGGATATTACGTCGGCTCATCTTGCAGCCGTGTCTCATTGCCCACTCCCGTCTAACTTGCTGTCCATGGTCCCTCTGTTGTCTCTTTGGGCATTGTTGCTCCTCGCAGGTGTCTTGCACTGGTCAGGTGCCTGAGGGAGCATCCCCCAGATGTCCTCACATGGGTCTTTCCCAGTGCATATTTCTTTTCTGCCCATGTTTCCGATCTCTCTCGGGCTCTTTAGAGGATTTGTTTGTCCTGGTTGGTTCTTACCACTTCTTCCAGTTTTGTATCATCAGTCTGTGTTCTGAACGGGGTGTTCTAGCCATGCTCCTAGCTCAGCTATGATGCTAACAAGCCATCACTATAGAATGTGGATAGACTTCTGCCCCAGCTACATTGGTTTACCATTACCTGGGGTTTTGCCTTTTACTAGTTCTTCGAGTGTTCCTATCCAAGCCAGTTCCAATAAGACTTTGAGACGCTACATCAAATGCTTTGCTAAAATCCATTTGACATAGAAACATAGAATATGAGGGTTGGACAAGACCTCAGGAGATCATCTAGTCTAACCCCAAGCTCAAAGCAGGACCAACACCAACTAAATCATCCCAGTCAAGGCTTTGACAAGCTGGGCCTTAAAAACCTCTAAGGATGGAGATTCCACCACCTCCCTAGGCAACCCCTTCCAGTGCTTCACCACCCTCCTAGTGAAATAGCGTTTCCTAATATCCAACCTTGACCTCCCCCACTGCAACTTGAGTCCATTGCTTCTTGTTCTGTCATTTGCCACCACTGAGAACAGCCGAGCTCCATCCTCTTTAGAACCCCCTTCCAGGTGCTTGAAGGCTGCTATCAAATCAAAGAAATGCTATCTTCTCTGCTGCAGACTATATAAGCCCAGTTCCCTCAGCCTCCCCTCGTAAGTCATGTGCCCCAGCTCCCTAATCATTTTCGTTGCCCTCCTCTGGACTCTCTTCAATTTGTCCACATCCCTTCTGTAGTGGGGGGACCAAAACTGGACACAATACTCCAGGTGTGGCCTCACCAATGCCGACTAGAAGGGAATAATCACTTCCCTCGATCTGCTGGCAATGCTCCTACTAATGCATCCTAATATGCCATTGGGCTTCTTGGCAACAAGGGCACACTGCTGACTCATATCTAGCTTCTCGTCCACTGTAATCCCCAGGTCCTTTTCTGCAGAACTGCCGCTTTGCCAGTTGGTCCCCATCTCAGTCCAGAAAGCAAAGCAATTAAGTTTCTGGCAGGATTTCTTCTTTATGAAACCCACCGATTATGCTGCTTATTGCTCGTGGCTCTGTATAGTTACTTGGTGTTCCCCTTCTCAGTTTGACACTGGGTGGAAATTGGCCTTCTGGGCTGATAACAGCCAGGATCACCCTTCCTTCATTTTTTGGGAAATCGGCACTGGATTATACTTGCTCTTCCCCTACAAACTTCTCCCCTGCCCTGTGGACTACAGCAAACTGGCCAGCGGGATGACTGTTCTACCAGGCTGAACGTGGGCGCTGAACCCTCCCGTGTAATGCGGCCCATAACAATGAAAGACACAGCAGGGACCAGGGGACAGAGCACATGTCAGAATGGTGGGTTCTATCCAAACCTCTGGCACTGACCTGCTGTGGGACCTTGCGCTTCTGCCTCTGATTTGCCTACCTTCCACACTCCGTCTGTCTTGTCTATATGGAAGAGTTGTTGTGTGGGCGGGATATTTGCTTTGCTACAGCCCAAGGAGCAAATTTAAGCCGCTACAGTTATAAGCGAAAGGAATTACTATTAATATAGTGGCATAACGTCTGCCCCATCCCCATCCGGCCACTCATTCCTGTGTGTGGCTTTTTTTTAAATTTAGCTTGTGGTATTTGGGAAGGGGCTTAAGCTAAACCAGAAAAGCTGCTGTTCTACCAGAATCAGAGCGTGCACACTGGCGGGGTGGTGGTGGGGTTATACTGGTCCGACTACATGGACATAACTGGCACAACTTTCCTGTGTAGCCCAGACCTTAGGCAATAAGCTCTTCAGGGCTCAGAACTGCTGTCGGTTATGTGGCCGTACAGCACCTTGCACAAACAAGGCCTACTAGCTGCTACTGTTAGAAATATTAAAAGCCAGGCTGCTGCCATGGCAACTCCTCGGGAGCCAGCGGCTGGAAGTGCTGCTTTGTAAATAAAGCCAGCAGCTCTCATTGGCGCTCACACAACTCAGGCCGGCTGCATTCACTTCCATCACTTACATACTGCGGCAGGAGACTCTTCGGCGCTGCGTCCGCAAACCGCCCGCTTCTGAATGTTTCCCTGGAGATAGATGGGGAGCTGAAGCGGGTGTTGATCCCAGCAGAGCATCACTCAGCCCAGCCCATCTCCCCATATCTCTCAGAGCAGGGTTTCTTAACCCAGGGGTCGGGACCCACAACTGGGTTGCCAGAATGTTTCAAAGGGTCGCATGGCTGCTCCTGTCCCACAGGTCTGGCTGAGCTCGCCTCTCTGCTCCAGGCACTGCACCCTCTGGGGTCCCAGCGCCCCTCAGGGTTGGCCCAGCCGCCATGATGACGGGAGTCTGGGTAGGCCAAATTTGAGTGAGTGGCCCTGCCACCCCCTGAGCCAGGCCACAGCTCCACTCACACAAATTTAGTCCAGTCAGGGGTGGGGCCAAACCTGAGCCACGCGGAGAGCCAAGCCCAGCCAGCCCCACAGCACTGGAGCTGCAGGAGCTGCCACTGTGGGGTGAGTGCTGGGCAGGACCCAACCCTACTTGGGGGCAGAACAGGTGCTCTGATGATGTCTAAAGAAGGCCTGAAATGTATTTGCCAAGGGGAGAAGAGAGATCATCTGCTTGTCTTTTACATTAGATCTTCAGGCCTCATCTGCCCCGGAAGACTCCTGTGCTCTAGTCCCTTTAGTCCCAAGAGGCTGAGAGCTGAACCGTGTAGCTCAGCTACATGGGAAGGGTTTGCTCTGATGTAGCTGCACCGGTGGAAATCCATGGCGCACAGCTCCTCAGCTGATGGGCAACGGTTTCAAAGAGGGGTAACTACAGAAGGGAAGGGATTTTCAAGTCTGGGTGCTCCACACCCATTGCTTTTTGTCTCTGCTAAGAGTGCCTCTGCTCTAATGAGTGCTTGGGACAAAGTGAGTGAGTGAGAGTTAAAGATGGCACAGCCTGCCCCTTCAGGTGTAAGAACCCACGATACTGATCAGAGCCCCAAGGCCTCCAGTCAAACCCAGGAAGAGCAGATGGGCTGTTCCAATTTCTTAGCTAGCCTTCTAAGTCACCACTAAGGCCTGTCTTCCTCAGGGCAGAGAGAGCCTTTCTTCTCAAGGATGCCAACCTGACTCCAGCCCAGGCCCACGATTACGGATACCTGTTACTGTCTGTGCCTGGCCAGTGGCCCTTTGGCACATGAGTGTGCTGAGCTGCAGTCCAATTCTTAGCAGACAGGTGTCCACATTGCCGTGAAAAGGACCTAAAAATCACACTTCTGCCTGAAAATGTGTTTAAACCTTTGAATGACAGTAGGCAACACCCAGCGCTGACAGGTCATGGTGTATAGTCAGTGTCACTCCTTCCCCCATACAGCGAGTTGCACCTGTTGCTGGGCCTCTCTCAGAGCAAGAAGAGTGAGAGAAACCTGTACGCTCTAGTTCTGTGTGTACAGTGCCTAGCACAATGCAGTCCAGGGCCAGGACTAGGGCTCCTAAGCCCTACAGCAATACAAGGAATTCACACTGATGGGGGGGGCTCCAGCCCAGGTGGGTTCTGTAACTACTTCTAATGCCTTTTCATTTTTATAGTTAATTTCAAGCTGACAGTGTCCCTTTAACATCCCTGGATTTGGCCTTGGCACAGTGACCAAAAATTAAATGGACCTAGAGACCAGCCTGTCTTTTCGCTCCTGCTCACAGAGGTGGGGCACATGAGAAGCAGCCCCGAGTGTAGGAAGTTGGTGCTGTACCGTTCTGTGGATAAACAGAGGACTGTGGTCTCCGGGGCCAGTGATGTGGCACCTTTCATCAGCACATGGGTCTCTAAGGCCTGGTCTACACTAAAGGTTAGGTCAATGCAAGGCTGCTTTATGTCGACCTCGCTGTTCTTTCCAAACTGGTTTTGAAACTGAAGCTATGCCTACACTTAACACACTGCGACGCGATCGCCGTAGCACTTCAGTGCAGACGCTCGCTACAGCGATGGGACGGCCCCTCTCCTTGCTGCTGTTAATCCACCTCCCCAGGTAGCTTGGTCAACGGAAGAATTCTAGTGCTGTCTACGCTGGGGCTTAGGTCAGCTTCACAACGTCGCTCAGAACTGTGGATTTTTCACACCCCGACACGTCATAACTGGGTTGACCTCACTTTTCAGTGTAGACCAGCCCTGAGTGATCACCTGTTATAGACATTTCTAAGCCAATTGAAAAGAGGAGTCTAATTCTCTGACAAATCCCACACTACCCTCAGGATAACTTGTGAAGACCTCTAGTGGTTTTGTCGTATCATAGGATTCTTGCACATGACTGTCAAATTCCTTCTCTTTTGGATCCAACTTTTATCAGTAGCAGTTGGAGCTGTGTAAACCTAGGGAGCGGTGACTTGTACTTTGCTATCTTTTGGCTCTTTATGCTGATTCTACTGCCAGCCTTTTCGCTCACAAGCTTGGCATCAGGTGTTGCCTTTATCTGTTAGGTTTGAGACCCGACTCTGCAAAGGCAGAGCAAAGGGATTTCCCTAGCAGTGCTAAACTAAAGGGTTAAATTGCTACCGCAGCGTTGATCTGAAGTGCGTAGGGCCGGTGCCCTCCTGTGGACATCAGCCATCTCTGCAAGTCACATCTGCATTTCCTACAGCACAGAGCGATGCAATGACTCTCCAGCAGAGCCAGTGAGGGGATAGTAGGAGTAACTCAGTACAGGCCAGTATTCAGATCGGTGGGGAACCTTTGGGCACAACGTTCCAGCCTGTTCTGCTGTGAGCCTGATCCTCCCAGGGAAACTCAAAGGGACATGAGCAGGAGAAACGTCTGACGCCCTGTCAGCCTACTATAAACCCTACCGTTCTGCTCACAACAGACTCACCCACCTAAGGAGGCACTCAGGCCTCGAGCCCCAAAGGTATTTAGGTGCATAACTCCCGCTGGGGCTTTGATCCTCTGCTACCTTAGCTACACTGTGAGCACCTAGAGGGATGGAATGCAGGCTCGGGGAAGGGAGCCAAGCTGCCCATCACTTCAAAACCAGCTTTTTGGGCTGCGTGCTCAGGGACTGACCCTGTGCTCGCTGTGTGAGCTGGGCTCCAAGGGAACATCTTGGATTTAATTTGGACGGGAACCTGAGGGAAAAGCTTGCCACCCACTTAAAAATGTCAGACATGTGGGAACTGTCAGCCCATCTTGTCCCATATTCTGTTTCTGATAGAGGCGAGCGTTAGAGCCGTTACAGGAGAGCGTATGAAATTGCATAACGGGCAGATTGTTCTATAACTTTCCCCTGGGGGGCGTCTCCTGGTTGATTTCCTGAGGGGGTGGAGTCTGGGGTACAGCTGGTTGAAAAATTATTTTTTACCAGAAATTTAAAAACCCCCAAAACTTTTTGAAAGAAATCAAATCGCTCTGCGGGGGTGGGGTTTCATGAAAAAAAAAAATTCAGGGGAAATTTTGAAGAAAAAATCCCCAAAACCTGTTTTTTGATAACCAAAATTTTTACCCATTTTTGTTTTTCTATTAGAAAGCCAGTTTCATTGCCAACAGAGTGATTCCCCAAGAGCATTTTTTGTGCTTGACCAAAAGCAATTTGCATCAAAACCAGGTTTCCTGGGACGAAATTCTGACCAGCTCCTGCCAGTCTAATGTAAGGAGTGGGGGGAGGGGGATTACTCCCTATCATTTCTCCCAGCCCAGCCATGCTGACCGAGCCGGCACCCCCCCCCCTCCTCTGCTTGTGGCAGAAGCCTAGGCCCCGTTCGGGCACAGGTCCCTTCTCCCCCGCCAGGCAGGTCACCCCAGCCTTCTGTCTGCTGATTGACTAAACAAAACGCCCCTCCCGTGGAGGGGGCCAGGGCCGTAACGGGAAGCCCCCGCGGGCGCACGGAGGCTGGGAGCAGCTTACCTGATCCTTCCTACGGGCGACCCGCTGGTGGCAGCAGCCGTAGATGGCCGCGATGAGCAGCAGGGAGCAGGCCATGCACACGATGGTGATGATCAAGGGCATGCTGAACCGGTCCTCGGTCTCCTCCTTCAGCCACTTGCTGGCATAGGTGACGTTGCTGATGCCAAGCTACCACGAGCAAGAAGGTTGAGGGGGCAGATCCAGCAGCACCCACACTCCCTTCCCTCAGGGCCTAGCCTCTGCTGACAGAGCACCCGCCCCCCCAGGTGCCCCCTACAGTCCTCTTTCCGTGGCACCGCAAGTGGCCCAGCTCCTGCCCGCTCTCCCCAGCCTGGGCCTGCATGCAACAGCTAGCTGCCGTTCAGCTGGGCGCATGCAACTGTGGCATACATCACCCAGCGCGGCGGGGGGGGCCGCTACGCTGTCCTGCCATGGCAGGGACTCTCTGCAGCCTGCGCAGAGGGGAGGGAGGGATGGATGTCCAAGGACAACAGCTGGGCTGAGTGAGACTCCACGCCTGTGTTCCCGTCCCCTGCCGGTCCAAGCAGCGGGGAACTGGCTCCTCTTCGACACAGGCTAAAGCCCTTTAGAAATGGAGATGCTGATTGCCCTGGGGCTGGCACGGCAGGGAGCAGTGGGACTGTCTCTAGCGCCTTCCAGCCCCAGAGCTCCAGCCAACGTCCTCTTGGCAGCTGGCCCTGAGCAGCGTTCACCCAAAGCCTCCTCCCAAGAAATGGGAAGTGGAGTTCGTCCGGGGGGGGGGGAGACTCACTCACCTGCTGGAGCTCTCCCTTCTTCGTCTCCAGCAGGTCAAACAGCTCCTTGGGCGCGGCGTTGGCTGTAGGGAGAAACCAGCCAGAGGTGAACGGCGGCCCCTGCGTAACGGCTGCGAGCGGTTGTGCCATGCGGAGCTCGGGCCATTCAGCCTCTGTCTCACACATGAGGAAACGGTGCGACTTGCCCCAGGCCCTGCAGTGAATAAATGGCAGCCCCCTCCCTGCCGGTGCCACCATGATCAGTGCCTTGGGCCTCTGCAGAGAAACCCAGGATTAAACGGGGGAGGGAGACCGCCCAGCCCTCTCTGCCGTTAGGCTTGGTGCATGGGGTTAAGGAGGCCACAGGACCCAGGAGGCTGTGCTCCTGGTTGTGCTTTGCCTACGGCCTGGATGCTTGTTGGCTTGGAGCCCAGGGCTGTAACTCTAATACCTTTCCGCAGCGCGACACCCAGGCCCAAAGCACAGTGGTTCAAAGGAACGTTTAACCAGGGAGATTTTGGGTGCCAGAGCTCCAGCTGGGGGAAGGGCTGCCTGAGCCCTGCATGGGGAGCTATGATGCAAGTGCTGCAGAGCGGGACGATAACAGAAATCAAAGCAGGAGCAAACCTCACAGGACAGCTAGTCCCTGCCCCCGCCTGGGCTGGGCTGGTCCCTCCACGGGATCCCACAGCGCTCTGTCCTCTCCAGCAGCCCTGTTTGTGCAGCGGCTTAGGGCCACGTGGTGAGCGGCTGCAGCCCAGGGGCTGGGAGCCGGGGCTAGCGAGATCAGCTTTGGGGGTTGGTTTCCAGCCTCACAAGCACCAAGTGTTTCAAACAATCACCCTAAGCACGTACTTGAGTCCCTGAGGGAAGTCTACACTACAGTTGAATACCCATGGCTGGCCTGTGCCGGCTGGCCTGTGCCAGCTGACTTGGGCTAAGGGGGTCGTTCTAAGGGGCTGTGTAATTGCAGTGTAGACGTTCGGTCTTGGGCTGCAGCCCGGCCTCTACGACCCTGTGAGGTGGGGGGGATCCCAGAGTTCAGGCTGCAGCCTGAGCCTGAATGTCTACCCTGCAATTAAACAGCCCCTTAGCCTGAGGCCAGCTGTGGGTGCCTCACTGCGGTGTAGACATACCCATAGCCCAAGAGGGCAGCTCCGAATCACAGCCCCTGCGTACCCTGTGCCCATGCCACGGGAGGGCTGTTACACCCGCCGGCTGTTTCTGGCCATCAGGTAGTGCTGTGTGCGATGGAAGCAGACAGCACTGGGGAAGGTGAGACAGGGAGGGTGGATGGCTGAAGAGCAGCTCACAGGCCAGGAGTCACTTCCCTGCCCCCAAGGGCAGGCGTCCTTCATGGAGCACGGGAGGGATCGGATTGTTACCCGCAGTTTGGCAAACAGCCTCTGCCAAGCAGCGGGCTCCTAAATCTCCTGAGGAGGTGAGGCTCTTACTGAGGTGACCATGCAGCTGCAGGGGGGTTGGGAGACGCCGTAGCAGGGCTGTGTGCCCAGAGCGCCAACTTGGATTATCTAGGTCTGCCTGAGCTTTGAGATCCCCTCTCTGCACACTCGCCCGCATGAGACCACTGGCCAGGTCTGGTACCAGCAGCTCTCCCTGGTGGGTAGAGGGGGGAGCACCATGCATCACTTTCACTTTCTCTCCCCCGTCCCCCCCGCCCGCCCCACGCCATGAGTGGCATTAAACAGAGAGGCAGGTGCTACCCTCCTCAGCTGTGAGAGCAAGTCCCCGCTCCAGTACCAGCTGCCTCAGAAGAGCTGCCTCAGAAGAGAGTAAAAGAGCCCCCGTAGGGGGCAGTTACAGAATAGCCTGCCCCAAGGGGAGATCTCTTCCTGACCCCAGACAGCTAGCAGTTAGCTTCTGTCCTGAAGCATGAGAACTCTGGCCTGTCCTGCTTGTGTAAACTGGCTGTAAGCTCCTGGCCTTGCTGAAAGAAGGGGAGTCCATCTCCAGGCCCTGTACAACACTGTCCTCACCTCTGTGGGTGCCCAAAGGAGGTCAGTCCTTGTGGGGCACTTTAACCATTGAAGCACCTGCAGCCTGGACTGAAACCTACCACCTCATTTCACGTCAGCAACCCAACAGCCATCGAATTGACGTTCGGTCACGCCTGAGCTGGGCTGGATTTGAACTGGGGCCCTTGAAGTGAGAGATCACTGCACAGCTACTCTCCTGCGCCTCCATGGGGTGAGGCTTTTCCTCCCTGGGCTGGGTTCCGTTCCCTTGTTGATATTGACTAATGAGTCATAACCTTACTGGAAGATGAAATTAAGCTGGTTCCCACTGATCCACCTAGCAACTAGGTTTGGCACCAGAGCAGTGGCCTAGCGGTTCACTGATTACTGGGGCCACTGGGCTTCCATCACAAGCCAAAGGATGACAGCGGGAACAATGGCGCGGAGCCCCAAACCAGCCCTTAATGGAAAGTACGGGAGTCCCCAGTAAGGCTGATTACACAGCTCCATGATTTCCACCAGGCTTCCCAGGCTTCTCCTGTGCTTCCTGAAAAGACTAAAATAGTGGTGCCCAAACTTCTTCTTGCCTCCCCCGCCCCTGCAGTAATGGAATGTGTCCGCACCTCCACCTTCCCCCACCAGGCCTGAAGCAGAGTCGTGGCCAGGCTGGGGCCAAGAACAGAGGCCTGAGGCCAACTGTGCGAGCTCAGGCCGAGAGCAGGGGCTGGCGGCTGAGCCACAGCCTGGAGCAGGGCTGCAGCTGGGTGCTGGGAGTGAAACCAGGACCACAGCTATGGCTGAGGCCGGGCCAGAGCGGGGTTGGGTGGGGCTCCTCCCTGCCCTCCATCCCTCATGGGGGGCTGGCCCGGGCCACTGCCTCCCCCCGCAAGCTGGACATTCCTCCATGCCCCTGTAGAGAGGGGCACACCCCACAATTTGGGGACCACTGGGCTAAAAGGTCTTTAGCAGTAAGATGCCCCCAACCTCTTCCCTCTCCCTCCTGCAGAGCCCGTGGGCAGCGAGCAGGGCTCACTTTGCACAGAAACACCGAGCACAGCAATCCTGTTGGGGGCATTCCCAGCGGTGTTCAGGCGCACGGTGCAGATGTCTCGGCTCCGGTTGAACGTGGCCTTCACAGCTTTGCAGAGCATGTTGTGCAGGGAGGGATCCCCAGGGATGCCCTGCAGGGACAGAAAGCACACATCAGACAAGCCAGGGCCAACTGCAGCACACAGCAGATACAGCTTCCAACCAACCTTCTGGGCTCCAGGTCTGCCTGGGTCCAGCTCCCCAGGTCAAATTCCACCCAGCACTGTAGTGCAATGAGCCTGACAGTTCTCAGCCCTGTTCTGGGGGAAAGGGCAGGTGTTTACAACACAGAACCACACCAGCACTGGGCACACATTGGCCCCTTTGTGGGTGGAGTGTGAACAACCCTCTTGCCCCAAGAGGTGGTACCAGTGCTACGGTGACCGGACACCTTTGAAATGGAGGCCTGGCCTGATTTAGTTTATCGCTCTACGGTACTTATACGCCCCCCCCCCCCCAAAATAACCCCAGTATCTGAGCACCTCCCAGTCCTTAATGCAGTTATCCTCCCACGCTTTGATGGTTTTAGCCTCACAACACGGATGGGAACGAGACATAGAGAGGCTAAGTGACAAGTCCAAGGTTACATGGGAAATCTGCAGCTCAGCCAGTAATGACCCCAAGTCTCCCACACCCCATGCTAGAGCCCTAACCACGGGGCCAGCTTCCGCTGCACTAAAAGAATATGGTCGGGGGCTTGCTTTTGAGACACTAAAATAGTGGCAACAGTTTCCTGCCTGGGGAGTCCTGGGGATGGTCTTGCCGCCAATAAGGTGTTTGTGACACTGCAACCCCTTGGCAAAGAGTGCCCTGTTCTTTGCAAACCCCGCTCCCCTCAGACCTGACAAACTCACTACACCAAACAGGTCTCGCAGGGTATTTGCCAATAAAGAAATGCTCCTAACAGGTCTGGATTCATAATCATGGTGAGCTGTAAATATGATAGTTGATAAGGTATTGCTATTGAACGTATGCTTTATGGACTTGGCGTACAAGTTAAGCCACCTGAGGATAATGTATCTGCGCAGAAAGCAGGTGTCACCTGGCCCTGCTGAGCCAGCAAGGTAGTGCCAGGTGCTATTTGTTGACAGCCCCCCCACACACACCCCCGCTCCAACCCAAGACCATCAATGGAAAACCCCCAGAGACAGCTGCAAACAATTGAAACCACTTGGAGATGAAAAGGAGCATTATAGCAGGCAGGCGCTGACCCTGGCTGGGAATAAAGACAAAAGACTAATTCAGTGTATGGCCGGGGGGAAACGACACACATGACCTACTTTATTAACTAGGAAAGGGTGTAGCCCCAAGTCTGGGTTGTTATCATTTTGTTTTGTATTGTAGACATGTTTCCACCCCCTCTCTGTTGTTTCTCGCTAACTCTCGGTTCTTTCTTAAATAAACCGTCTTTTATTTCATGACACATGCTGCGTGGTTTACAGGAACGGGGATTTAAGGTAAAACTGGGGCCCTCGGCTCCTTTGGGCGGCACAACATCTGGGATTTCTGCAAGCAGCCGGGGCTGGATAGCACAGGAGAACGATTCGCAGGGACTCAGGGCCTGGGACTTCCCTACTACTAACCTGTAAGGAGAAGCCAGGGCGGGCAGAGGCCAAAGGAGAGGGCTTGCGAGGATGGTGGTGGCAGAGATCCCCCTGCACGTTTTGCTGAGACTCTCACAGGTGGGAGGCTTGGGGTAACAAGGCTGCTTTCAGGCCCAGGTGCCCCGAGAGGCATCACAAGGTTGCCTCTCTTTCTAGACCCCCCACCTCCAAGTTCTCCAATGACCCACATTGGCTGCCTCCCTCCCCATGTAAACATGGGACCAGTCTCACGCTGGTCTCGCATAATATCCCCAGAGAAGACTGAGCGCTGTTGGGCACCACACCACTGGCTTGTTGAGCGGCAGTGGGCTTCTTGCCCAGGGCTTTTTCTCTGCTGCGCCCAGATGCCCCAGCTGCTCAGGGTCCCATGAGCGTCCCTCCTGGCTGTGGAGTCCACTGCCTCCCCGCTTCATCTGCCTTGTGGCTCAGCCCCAAGGCAAGGAAGAGTTTTGAAGCAGTTTCTTTATCACAAGCCAAATCCACTTGGCCGGAGTTCTTCACCAGGGCACGGCCGGCCTTATCTGAGGGCTGCAGCTTTTGGAGTTACAGAAATAGCAACTCCCCGGAGGGGAGCCAGATCACAGGGGTGGGGGGGAGTGTTTTAAAAGGCAAAGCCCAGCCAAGGGAGAGGGTGCAAAAGCCACCCCGCATCACAACAACCAAGTGCCGCTTGCACGTCCCTGGCCCCGGCTTCAAACGAGCTGGGCTGTGCGATTACTGAGACATGGGCCAGGGGAAAGGATGGGGCAGGGTAAACAGAGCCCTGCAAGAGAGCAGGCCCGACGGATTTGTACAAAGAGCCCCAAGCCCCAGAGGCAAGTAGGGCCCCATTCAGCTCCCATCCCACAGGGATGTGTGAGCAAATGGTTGGGCTTGTGACACGGAGCGTGTGCTGGGCGGGTACCTGCTAGTCCCAGGAGAATGACCAGCCAAGCAGCGAGCCAGCCCCGCCTGCTGGCTTTTAGCGTGCTCCGGCCCGCCACTGGCAATGTACTCTGGTTAACACCACCCTCCCCGCCACCGTGGGATGGGGGCTGCCCTCCACCCCATGGTTATAACCCACAGCACCATCAGCCCCCAGGGAAACCCCAGCACAGAGAGGGCCGAGCTCAGACTGTGCCAGCCAGTACGGCAGCAGCAGGGGGAATGCTGAGCTGGGGCGCAGAGTGTGGAGGCTGGCAGGAATGCCAGTGGGCACCTGGAACAGTGCCAGGCAGGGCTGGGGAGCAGAGCCCAGGAAAAAGGGGATGTATGGGAGCTCCTGGAACAGTGAGGGGGGGGGAGCTGAGATGGGGATCCCAGGCAAAAAGGGGGTACCTGGAGAGTCCCGGAATGGTGCGGGGAGGGGGGGGCTGAGCCGGGGAGCAGAGCCCGGGGGAGAAGGGGGTGCCCAGAAGCTCCTGGAACGGTGCGGGGTGGGGGGGCTGAGCCGGGGGGGCAGAGCCCAGAGGAGAAAGGGGAGCCCAGGAGCTCCTGGAACGGTGCGGTGTGGGGGGCTGAGCTGGGGGAGAAGGGGGTGCCTGGGAGCTCCCGAAACGGTGCGGGGGGGGGGGGAGGGGGAAGGGGAGGCTGAGCTGGGGGCAGAGCCCGGGAGAGTAGGGAGCACCCAGGAGCTCCTGGAACACTGCTAGCCAGAACTGAGGTGGGGAGTGGAGCACAAACACTGCTCCCCCGTCTCTGTCTGTCTGTCTCCAGCCACTGCCTGACCTTATGCTCCCACCGTAGCTCTCTGGGGGTAGGGACCGTCCCTCTGTTCTTTGCACACACAGAGCCCAGCGCAACGGGGCCCTACCATCTTGGTGCTACCGCAACACACACCGTACTAGGGCAGCCGGGGAAGCAGATGAGCATTGCTGCTGCTGCTGGGAACTGGAGCACAGGGGACAGTGAGGTGGGGAGGAGGCAGCCGGTGTGAGCCCAGAAGAACCGAGCTCCCTAACCCCTCACCTCCTAGTTAATTCCCTTGAGCCGTCCCACTCGGCCTCCCTTTAACTCCTGGGCTAGGAGGAGCCGGGCCTAGCCACACAGCAGTGACCCAGAAGCTGATGCTTCCTTTGCCCGTCCTCAGCCCCGTCCCGTGGAGAGGCAAGCCCGGTCTCTCTGCCAAGCCCCTGGGCTGGCAGCCACCAAGAGCAGAGTTGCTTTATTCCTGTCCTCTGCACCCCTGACCTCCCAAGGAACAACCTCGCCCCGTCTTGTCTAAATATTTGCGAAAAGGCGCCCGTGGCGGTGACAGGATGCACATGCTCCAGAGGAAGGAATGTTCCCCAGCTGCTAGCATGGGGGAGTTCGCCTGCATTGTTAGCCCCCCAGCAGGGATGAGGGCCCTTGGCCTCAGCTCCATGAGACCGGGGAGAGCTCCAGGTGCTGCCCATCTCCTGCCCTTTCGCTTTCCAGTGGGAAAGTCAGGCCCTGGCAGGCTCTTCAATCGCACAGCGAGCTCCTCTGAGACTCCCACCTCCCTCTGACCCAGCCAGCCCTGTCCACTGGTCGAGGCAGGGATCTGGAGGTGCTAGGCCTTGGCTATGGCACTCAGCGCACTTGCTGCTGAAGGACCCACAGCAGCGTGCCTAGGGGCCTGCTAAGTGCCACGCGGGGCCACGCCTGCCCTGCTGGCAGCTATTGTTCCTGGGCACACTCCCAGGGGGCCAGGCGCAGCTCCCGTAGGAGGGCTGGACGCCCTATCCCGAGAGCTGACAACGGAAAGACGAGATGCAAGAAGTGAGCGGAACCAGCAAAGCGGAGGTAGGGCGCTCGGGTGGCCCCCCGCGTTGGCTAATGACGCACAACGGGACGGGGCTAATCATTTACTTATCTTTTTAAATGACCCCTTTAAAAATTCCCTCTCAAACCACAACCCTTTGTGCTCCCTTACCATCTGCCTCTGTCCCTCCCCGCCCCCCGCCAAAAAAGGGCCTCGGCTTGGTATGCTGGGGGAAGGGGGAAAAGGGGGAGCAGCATTGGCTGCCTTTCCCCCCTCTCCCACCTGGCTTTACTAGGTCCTCTCCCCACCAGGGACATGGCTGATCCAGGGCTTGGGGTGCTAGCCTGGGATTTAGGAGTTCTGGCTTCAAGTCTCTGTTTGGCTGCAGCTTTCTGTAGGCCCTTGGGTGAGTGGCTCAGGGGAAGGTCTTCCGAAGACACCTATTCGGCCCCTAACGCCGTAGGACCAGGCACCTTGTTGCTAGTGGTGCTTTTGGAAACCTTCTCCCCTTAGGGGCTGTGGGCCTCTGCCCCCCAGATCATAGCACGGTGCGAGCGCCCAGGCACGTTGCAAGGGGAAATCCTCTAAAGACTGTGAGGCGCTCAGCTAAGCTGGGGAGGGGGTTCAGATGAGAACCTGACTCTTTCAGTGGGGCCCGCTCCATCTCTGGGGGGACCTGTGACTGTTAGAGGAGATCAGTGAGTATCAGCCTGCTGGATGCTGGCTCCCAGGGGCGCTGACTCCTCTTAGGCTCTCTGTTCGAAGGGATCTTTTCCATCCCTCC